AACAACTGAAGCACCAACAACAACCACAGTAGGTTCAACAACCACTGGAGCTACAACAGCAATGACAGCTTCTCCAACCACATCCATTAGAACTCCAACCACAACCACAGCTGCTCCAACCACAACAACTGCTCCAACCAGAACAACTGAAGCACCAACAACAACCACAGTAGGTTCAACAACCACTGGAGCTACAACAGCAATGACAGCTTCTCCAACCACATCCATTAGAACTCCAACCACAACCACAGCTTCTCCAACCACAACAACTGAAACACCAACAACAAATGCAGCAGCTTCAACCACAACAGCCACATCAGCACCAACTACAATTACAGCTTCTCCTCCAACCACAGCAACTGAAGTACCAACATCAACGACAGCAGCTCCAACAACAATCACAGGATCACCAATTAAAACCACAGCTTCCCTATCGACAACCACAGTATTTATAACCACAACAACTGAAGCACCAACAACCACAGCAGCTTCAACCACAACCACATCATCTCCTACCACAACCTCAGTAGCTCCAACCACAACTACATCAGATCCAACCACAACTACAATGTCTCCAACCACAACCATTGAAGTTCCAACCACAACCACCGCTGCTCCAACCACAACTACATTAGCTTCAACAACAAAAACAACTTCAGGAGCTCTAACAACAACTAATGTTGTACCTACAACACTGCCACCCACAGATCCACTCTCTACTACAGCGCCTCCAACAGGCACACTCTCTACCACAGCGCCTCCAACAGGCACATTCTCTACTACAGCGCCTCCAACAGGCACAATCTCTACCACAGCGCCTCCCACAGGCACACTCTCTACCACAGAGCCTCCGACAGACACACTCTCTACTACAGAGCCTCCAACAGGCACAATGACTACCACAGAGCCTCCGACAGACACACTCTCTACTACAGAGCCTCCAACAGGCACAATGTCTACCACAGAGCCTCCAACAGATACACTCTCTACCACACAGCCTCCCACAGATGCACTCTCTACCACAGAGCCTCCAACAGGCACAATCTCTACCACAGCGCCTCCAACAGGCACAGTCTCTACAACAGCTCCTCCAACAGACACAATCTCTACCACAGCGACTCCAACAGGCACAATCTCTACCACAGCGCCTCCAACAGGCACACTCTCTACCACATCGCCTCCAACAGACACAATCTCTACCACAGCGACTCCAACAGGCACAATCTCTACCACAGCGCATCCAACAGGCACAATCTCTACCACAGAGCCTCCAACAGACACACTCTCTACCACAGCGCCTCCAACAGGCACACTCTCTACCACAGCGACTCCAACAGGCACAATCTCTACCACAGCGCCTCCCACAGGCACAGTGTCTAGCACAGTTACTCCATCAACAACCACAGACATAAGCCAAACGACAACTCCAGTTCCTCCTGGTATGTTACCTAATTTATAAATGTATTCATAAATTTATAAATATAAATTATGTAAATTATTAAGGACTTACTGAATAGCTGAAATTCTTACATGGTGTTATTTTGGTTCTTGTCTTATTTATTAAGGTGTGTGTGCTTCAAACCCATGTCTTGGTGGAAGCACCTGTGAAGAACGTGATGACCAGACTTACGTGTGCTTGTGTACGGCTGATGAAGTTTATGGTCCTCAAGGTTGTCAAAATGGTGAGTATCTTAATGTAATGCAACAAGGAAATATTGTGTTTCTCATAACTAAGTGTAGAGAATTGTTCATCTAGACAATATGATAAATTACCTCAGTGTCTCCAAATTTTTAAATTGTTCATAAAACAGTTTCTATTCACAAATCAATAACCTCAGTATTTTTGGTGTCACTTTTCAATTTAAATATATGAAAGCAGTCCCAGCCCTCCACAAACACCGTTTATACACCACAACTATGTGGGCAGAACACTTGGGCACAAAATATTCAGTGAGCACTAAAAAAGGTATGCTTGTAAAAATTCATGATCACTATGTTAGCAATGACATGTTTAAAATCTGTAAAGAATATTAATACAGTATGAACATAACAAAAGGAACACATTTTGCAATAAATAGATATAAAGAGTCAGGGATGTGGAAGAGAAAACCGAAATAGCCAAATAATGGTTTCCCTCCCATTATGTTCAGAGCAGCTTTGAGCACCACATTTGGGAGGGTGACATAGAGGATATGAGAAGACAGTTTGCAATTGTTTTACTGCTGGACAAAAAACATGGCAAGGTATCATTTTACACAGTTATTTAAGACTGGAGCAACACGAATATTTGCTTTGAACAAATGAAACTGTGAAAAATGATAAATACAAAAGATACAAGTGATCCCTTTGTCATTTGTGTTGTTTTTTTTCCCTTAATTTATCTTTTGGCAAAAAAGAGGAGGTGATGTTTTTCGTTTTTGTCTTTTCTTTTGCCAAAATAAATAAATAACTTAAGGCATTATTTTAGGAATATGATCATTTGCATATCCTCCTCCCAATATTTTACACTTTCTGATGTTCAGCATATGTTCTCCATATTCATGAAGGCATAAATGTAAAATGGATTGTGCCTGCTATGGTGCTCATTTTGCAAACAATCTTCTTTGAGCCTGTGTGGTATGAGGTTTTTATACATGCAAACCTTTTAAAGATTCAGACCTCTTTCTTTCCTCTCTGAATATTATTTCACAAACTATTATACAATATTTTAAGTAATTCTTCAAAATATTGAGGAGAAATGCTTGCTAAAATCTTATGTGATCCTGTTGTAGTATGCAGAGCCAGAGACTCACTATTACCTTCTTCTCTGTTGTTAGACTGGTGGTTGATCCTTGTGATCGTTTCCTCTATACTTGGATGCCTGCTGTTCGCTTTGGTGATCACTCTGCTTGTGGCAGTAAAAAGGTAAGTTTGAATGCTATCCATTTATTTTTTTATTCACGTTTGTCTTGTTAGTTTCTAACCTTGTATTAGATTATGTTAAGTGTGCAAAGTCTTTTCAAAATTGGGTGATTCTGAAAATGAAATAGTGCTGGCTGTACAAAATCTAACTATAAACACAGCACAGTAGAACAGACGAATTTGCAATTACTGTCTTTTTTTTTTTTTTTTACAGATTCAGGAAGAAACTCTTCAAGAACAAAGAGAAAGACATTTGGAAACCCTATCACATCCCTACTTTTGCCCCGGGTCCACCATCCTACAGCAGCAGCAAAGGCATTTCTGGCTGGGTCAAAGAACCAGCGAACAGCCTGGCAAATTCTGCGGCCCCAAAAATCCCACGGGCCAAACTCAGTCCCAACTGGGACAGCAGGCCCAGCTCTGAGCTGACTCTGAGCAACAGCCGACAAAGCTTGATTCCTTCGGAGATGAACACGGTGAGTACACCTCTGCACGAGACGTCGTGAAGACAAACATCTGTTCTGTTCACTCAAATTATGATCTCTCTTCTTTCCTACTGCAGCAATTCAGCAACATCCAAGATGACAAGTTTCCATTCTCCCAGAGTCCATCCAGGAACATCAGCCCTTATGGCCAACTCCGAGCCAAAAACCCTTACACCACGACCCAAGGCCAGACTAACCCTTACTTAGTAATAACCTAAAAAAGCAAAGGGGACTTGAATCATTTCAGGGGATCCTTTACTGTATAATATATATGAAGTATATAATTACCAAGTCCAGAGTCACCCAACCTTTCATTTCTCTATGTTATCCAAGCATCATTTTTTGATGTTTATCCCCACTGAGTTTACAGATTAGGAGTTCTTACAGAGTATTTTTTTTGTTCATGTTTGATTTTACTAAAGTTTCTTTAACCATAATCTGGTAAATGACATGAGCTGAAAATTTCTCCAAAATTATTTATTTATTTATTTTTGGTCAATTTTAACCTTTCTATGCAAAAGTAAACAAAAAAAATCTTTCCTGTATACAAACAAATCTCCAAGGAATTCCAGCCCAGTCTGTAGAAAACCTGTAAAACATAATCAAACCATATTGTATTTGTTTAGCAAATTATTTACATATTTTGTTTCATTTAATGAATGAAAAACAATTTTAACTCTACACAACACATATCCCACTAACTACAGTTTTTAATATTTGTCTTACCTTTAGTTTTTTAGACAAATCCTTCTCTCTTAATTATTTTATTATTTTTGAACCACTTCTGTGTACTCCTTGGAAGAAGTTTATTATATCCTTTGTATAGAGTCGATGCAAATCAGAGAATCAAGATGTTCAGCACTTTAAAGTGTATTTTGAAAAGTGAACACTTTATATTGGACACTTTATATTTATTATATGATTAATTATTTGAGCAATGCTTGTATATTTATTCTTTTTTATTGTGTTGTGATATTTAAAGTATTTTTCCTCATGTCATAAGGTATTTAACTGAAAAGCTGTAAGTCAGAGAGAATACATCTCTGATAGAATTTTATATGCGAAAAATAAATGTTGTATTGGTGATTTATGAGTTTCACATGTTTCTTGAGGGCGATTTTCTATGATGGACAATTTATATTTTTAGCATTTATGCCTCTAATTCACAAAACTTAGATCAAAATGTATGTTTGAAAAACATATTTATTGCAATAACTCAGTTCAGCAACACACATTTAGATTAATTTCACATCCTGATGTTTTCCATTTTT